TGTGTGTGTGTGTGTGTGTGTGTGTGTGTGTGTGTGTGTTACTGAGGATGAAAAGTGGAGCCTACGCAAGCATCTGACCATTGAACTACATCCCTAACCTATACAACTGAATCTTTTGAAGTTTTATTTCTTTATCAACAAAAAAAGATTTGAAGGAAATGTGTGGCAAATGTTAATATTTGATTTACAACAGAAAAACTTTTTTGAAGTTCCTCATCTGGACCCCATAAAGGACATGCCAAAGAACAGAAGCCAGGCTACCAAAGAGGACTCTTTGATCCTTTCATTGCAAGCAGAGCAGAGGAAAGTTTGACCTGAGTTAGAATTGGTGACTCCTCCATGAAAACCATAGAAGGCAGGGTTGCCACCCTGTGAGGTCAGGGAGGCGAGTCACACTCTTGCATGGCTAAGCCCTGGATTCAATCTCTAGTATCATAAGCAGTCAAAATAAAATAAACCTCACCCTGTCTAATAAAAATAATTTATTTCAAAGGTACATTCTTGGCCATTTCTGAGAACTGGCTATTGGCATGTTAAATTAGAACTCAATGGCTTTCACCCTGGAGGAAGTCGAAGACTGAAAGCTAGATACAGAGGGCTTATGTAGGACAGGCATGGTTGCTACAGTGTCACCCCAAGCCAAGGTACAAAGTAAAGCCATAGGGAGTAAGGGGAGAGTCATGTAAAAGAAGAAGTCCCACAATAGTTAACTCACCTAGGAGCCCAGGTTAGAAACTCTTTGTAAAAAGGCATAATGATAACAAGCATCAAATATAACTAAATAATGACATAGGCAATAGAGATAGTATTGACAGACTAGGAAGAACATCACTTAGGAGCATGAGGCAGGTGATTATAGGAGAGGAGTAGAGTGAAGGCTGGAAAAATGAAGACCGAGGGTGAAGTGGGTGGCTAGGAAGTCATGAAGGTGGATGGAAACAACTCATCAGTTTTCTGTCTGGGGACTGATAGAATCCAATAAAGTATGTGGGATGGCAGTCACATGAAAGAGTTTACCCGTTTTCTGGAATTGACATATTCCACGTCCTATATTCTAACCACACTCTGACCTCCTCCCTGGTAAGATAAGATGTTCTGTCAAAAAGTTTTGAGCTGTTCTGACAAGTC